CGAAGCACCAAAGTCTGGAAGGAGTCATTCTGCAGGTGACTGAGGTACAGTGCATGTGTACCCCCGAGACCCTGGCACTCACCCCTGACAAAGCGGTCTACACATTTTATTCCAGGCTACTCAGTGCTTTCCACCTCCTCTGACCCAGAATGCCTTTCTCTTTCTTCCACGACTGCAAAAGAATAAAATCTGTTTTTTTCAGGATCTTTTAAAATTCTACTTTTCAGAAAAGGCATCTGTAAACATCTCTCTCATTTAAACTCCCTGTGGGGCTTGGTACCTGTCCTCTGGTTGTATCAATGATTGACTTTTAATGTTGTCTCCCCAGCTGGGCAGTAAGGGGTTGGCTGACACTGGAATACTCTTTTCTTTTAAAAACAGCCTTTGATCTCTCACCTTGTGTTTAGTCCAGAATAGGCTTATCAACTGCTCTACAGGAGCACTGTCAAATACAAATTGAAGGTGAGCCGCATTGGTAACTTAAAGCTACATGGGTCTCTCTGAAGTCAAAAGAAATAGGTGAGAATATTTACCCCCATACGTCCCAAACATCATTTCAACATGGACTTTATATGAAAAAATTATCTATGTGATATTAATTGTACTAAGTCTCTAAAATTCAGTGCGATTTCACTCCAGCACATCTCAATGTGGACTGTGCCCATGAGCCGCACGTGGTCAGTGGCTACCGTATCAAAGAACACAGGTCCTGAACAGCGGTTGAGAAAAGTACTGAGGCAGTTGGTGGAGACTTTACATGGTGGAAGGAATTTAGTGGGAATCTATAATCAATGAGAAGATCCCATGAGGTTTTTAGAAGACTGCAATAACTTGTCTTAACATGATGAGGACAGAAGTTAGGGAGATAAATCCATAGAAATCAGGAGAAAAGATTGCTTCTGTGATAAAGAATAAAGGGAGGAATAGTCACAGAACTTGGCAACTGGTGGAATATAAAAAAAATAAAGAAGGACAAGAAGTAAACAGTCACTTAAAGTACCTGGAGGACCAGGAAATAGAAGGAAGTTGAAGAGAGATACCAGTCTAAGGAACAGATGGATATGTTTTCAATAATGTATTTTCAGGTGCTGGCTCGAGGTGTCATTTGGAGCAAGGGTGAAAGATGAAACCAGGCAAAGTAGCTTTGGGGATGGACGCTGTCAAGCACCGTGAGGATGACTGGAGATGAGAAGGACTCAAGAATTTAATTTTATGAGTTCCATGGTTAGCAAAACAGGACAAAAAGTTACTGGGATGGTGGGGAGAGAACAAAGAGGTCCTGGGAGCCACAGAGGCACACGATTTCAGGACAGAAAGGGACAGAACGTGGGAAAGAATTTGAGGCAGGTAAGAACTGAGAAAAATGACAGACGTGAATAGGAAGCAACCTCTAGAGCACTTAAAACCTTGGTGAAGACTAAACAAAAGAGAATAAGGATTTACATCAGCTGAGCTCTTTCTAAACGCCCCCCCCCACTTCACTCCCTCCCCCCAGTTTGCAATCCTTAGAGCAATAGACTGGCCGAAGATGTTTGCATTGAGAAGGCTGACTTGGAGCAAATACCGACCCAGCAGGTATCCTGGCAGAAGGAAATAGAGACCAGCACAGCGTAGGTGGAGATCCGAGTGATTCTTGATTAATAGCCAAGGGAACAAAAACCCATAAACAAGCAAAACGAAGGGTGCAGGGAATTTCATGGGGTGCAGGACTGAAAACCACGGCAAAACCATTATTCGGTCTTAGTTAAAAGACAAGCAGGAAAAAAATTAAAGATAATTTGTCATTGTAAGCTCTTATTGTATTTTTCCAACCACATTTTCAGTCTTTTACTGCTTACCTTGAAAGATGGGCAGATACAGAATGTGTCCAGCGCAAAATCACCTTCAATTTTTGTATGTTTTTGGTAGGGGAGTGGAGAACAGTAGCCTGAAAGCCCAGGAAATTCTAGTGGCCTAAACTCCAGCCCAGTCCTTTTTCTCTTTCAAGCTTTTTCAATGACAACACGAGCATCAGTATCCAGTGTCCAACAGTTTAAAACAAAAATTGGGATTTTAGCTTTGCCTTTGTTGAAATGGCTTGGGGATAATGGAGTCAAAATTAGAACTAGAGAGGATGGACATGAGCTTTGCTTGGGGTTGTATTTGGTAACTGTAGTCGTACAGGATGTGAAATTTATTTGGCTACCTAAGTGTTTGGAAATTCCCTGCAACTCCCCTACACCTTCAGACAAGCATAAGTGCTTCTGAAATCTTCAGAAGATGACACCTAAATTATTCCTGCTGGGATGACTAAATCGCAATTTCTGTTTCATGCCTAAGGATTCCAGAAGCTTGACAGATGATAGTGAAAATTGATGGAGGAACTCCAGAGAAAAGGAGGTGTAGCACCTCCGGTGAGAGCATTACTCATCCGGGAAGAAGATGCTAATCCCATTCTGAGCAGCAGGAATAGTGTGAAAGGAAATGTGAGTGAAAATGAAGTCAAAATAACTTAGCGCACTTCAAATATTTTGTTTCTAAGTCGTCTATTCTAATTTCCCTCAGCTGCCATAACCTAGTTTAGAGGCTCACACTAGATCCGTGGACATTCTATTCTTTCTACATCAAAACACATGTTAAACGTGGAGAGAGAACCAAAGATTAGATGAGGGGTTCAGTTCATCAATAATTTTAAGCAGGAAAAGAATTATGTAAATCAAAGACTCCAGCAGGTCCAGATAGCCATCGAACTTCGAGCTTGTGTAAAAGGACTTACGAACTTTTCCTTAGAGATGAAATAGTTTTTATTATTTACACAAACGAACACAATGTGCCTTTGTTTTAGGAAGTACCCAGTTCCAACGGGCAAATTACTAGACAGACTCAGAGATTGGTATTCTGACTAAACTGTCAGTTTCTAAGTGCCAAACAGTGTATCCCCAAATCATCATGTTCCCGCCTAATCACAAGCTGTCCCTTCAGGGTGTTTATCTATTTATTTATTTCTATTCTGGGGAGCGAGCCTGGCATTCCAGACAGGAATGGCCTGTTCATTACTGGGGTTCAGCCTTGGCCATCGTGGGCACACAGCCAGTCTTTCTTAACTTTTTTTAAAAAAGATTTTATTTATTTATTTTAGAGAGCAGAAGGGAAGGGAGAAGAGAGAAAGAGAAACATCAGTGGGTGGTTGCCTCTCCCTGGCCTGCAATCCAGGCAAGTGCCCTAGACTGGGAATCAAATCAAACCAGCAACCATTCGGTTCCCAGGCCGGTGCTCAATCCGCTGAGCCACACCAGCCGGGGTTCCTTCAGGGTGTTTACATACAAATAGGTGAAGGAATAAATAATCTCTTAAACCTAAAAAGAGCGAGCTGTATTTGGAAAACACACGTGAACAATTTTAGATTGGATCCCTTCACGCTCAGAAATGAGATCGAGTACACGGAGACTCCTGGGTGATGACGCCTCCCAGGCTTCGTGGGATTGAGTGAATTTGGTGTCGGGGATGCAGTATCATTTCTCTCCATCACTGAGGGATTCTCTGCATAGGGGATCTGCATTATACGGTAAAAATAAGCTCATACGGACAGAGTCTCCTTTGTTACACAGGGCACCCACTACAACAGATAATACTCTTGTAGCCATGGGTGCAATTTCCACTCCAATTCTTCAGTGTGGGGGGTGGATGGTTTCACATGCACATGAACTTCAGAAATAGTCACTGGGATTTTGTGCCTGTAGCATTTCCGTGGGTGAAATCTCAAATCTTTAGCCAGAGTCGCTTGGGAACACATGTCTTTAAGAATGATTTAGTGCATGACATTAAAAATATATGTGTATGACTGGAACTTAGCCAAAGTTAATAGTATTACTGGTGAATGAATAAAAAGATGTTTACCAAAATTTTAAACAAAGTAAGGTAAAACTTTCTATCAAACAAAATTAATAATACACACGCGTTGCCTTCTTTCGGATGAAAATCAACATAGTTCCGCCTGTGACTTTCATCTTATCAGAGACTCCTGAAGTGAACAGTAGCACAGATGAGACACCTCAATTGTGTAAGTTCTGGTGGTTTCTTGGAAATAGCAAATGTCATTTTCTTAGAGCCCACATCCCAAATAAACCAGACTACCCATTCCCATGGCTGGAGTCTCAAAATAGCAACTGCTCAATTTTTATAAACATTCATTGCTTTTGAAGACAGAGGTGTACTATTTAACAAAGCACACTCACTTAGGCATCTACTATCATTATCATAATTATACTATTATTATTATTTTCTTATTTACAAATTTTTCTGAAAATGAAGATGAAGTTGACTGGGGTTGAGGGAATGGTGGGCAGTAAATGCAGACAACTGTAATTGAACAACCTAATTTAAAAAAAAGAAAGAAAATAAAGGCAAAACAAAAAGGCCCACTGGGAAGAACGCCCCCTTTTTTAAATTTTTTATTTATTTTTTTATTGATTATGCCATTACAGTTGTTCTATTCCCCCCCCCCCCCCTTCATTCCCCTCCACCACCTCTTGGAAGCAGCTTCGGGAAGGCCGCTGAGGTTGGGTCCTCCAGTGGGAGAGAGAGATCTGGGAGCTCTCGGCTTCGGGTTTCACTCCCTGCAGGGCCCGAGGTTCCCGGCCCGAGCGTCCCCACCCGCCCAGCCCCAGGCCGGCGCACGCAGGCGAGTGTCCCCGCTGCGGTCCCCGCGCCCCAGCGCCAGGACGCCGCCTACTGCCAGGAGCCAGGATCGGTGGTGGGGGGGTGGGGGAGCGGCACGTGTGGGGGTGGCGAGCTCGGGGGAGGGAGGGGGCGGGGCCTGAGGGCCCCGCGCCCCGCCCCCAGAGAGGCTACACGGAGGGGCGCCCACGTGCCCAGGCCGCTTTTTGCAGCGCTGCAGCCGGACGCTCCTCTCCGCGCGGTCCGGCCAGGCGGCGGTTGGCGCTCCAGCTTCCGGAGCCCCGGGACCCGACCCTCTCCAGCCGCTCGCCCTCCACCGCCCACTAGGCGCGGCCCTACAGCTGCCCCAGTAAGTGGCCAAGCCTCTGGCCTCCCGCAGGGGCAGTAGGCGAGAAGGGGGCCTCTAGGCGCCGGGGCCGGGGAGGAAGGGCTGGGGCAGGGGCGTCGAGGGCTCGCGTCCAGCTGCGCGCAGCTGTCCGGTGGCCGCGCTCCAGCGACGGGGGGCTACGGGACGGGGCTGCAGCTGCGAACCCTCGTCCGTAGGGCCCCGCTCTGGGCAAAGCTTCTCCCCGTCGGGCGCCCGAGCGTCGGGGTCTGGGCGGGCGCACCAGTCGCAGGACCTGGGGGACCGCCTGGTGTGCTGACTCGGTGAGGGCCCTGTGGCCGCTGTTGTCACGAGGGTCCCCGGGCACCCCTCTCCGAGAGAGCAGATCCGGCCTCCCCACTTTCTGAACACAGATGGGTCCCTGAAGCCGCCTCCTGCCACCTTGGGATTCTTGGGTTAAATGTAAAACACTGCTTGGAGTTTGGGAAGCCTTTTCACTAAATCTTAGACCTGCCCGGGCGGGACTGGCAGGACAGGTAAGGTAGCCGGTCGTGGTGCGGTGTTTGGGATATTTTTAAAGTAAATGGGTGCAGTTTTAAATCTGTTTGAGATGGGCTATAGTTTTTAAAGCTTGTTTCCTGCGGTCTTCAGCCTTGAACTCGAAATGCCATTCCCGATGCTCAGGGAATCGCGAGGCCCGTTGCCAGAGTAATATTCCTCCAGACAGCTAGACAGCTCTGTGGACGCGACCTACGATCCGCGGAGGAACAAATGCAGAGTTTGTGCCCTAGAGGTATTGAAAAGAAATAGCTCACTGGTCATCCGCATGGAAACACTACCTAGATCTCCAGTTAAAATTGTTCAGACTCTCACGTATTTATGCAGAACGGCCTAAAAACGCGTTTGGGTGGCAAGACTTACAGGACTGGACGTGGGGATGTGTTCGGGTGTCGTTCCAGTAGAACTCTCTGAAGTCGTGGCTGGGGGTCTGGCGTATGAATTTAGAGTGTACATGTTCTCCGACTGGGTAATTTCTTATTCTTGCCCCAGCCGGTCTTTAAAACTTCAGTTGCCTTTTCCCCCTCCAACTAATAATAATTATGTCCTCAGCAAACTGCAAACGTTTCTATTTGTGGTCTTTTTTTTTTTCTAGGGGTTGTACAGGGTAAGAAAATTCATGATATACCTTCTCGTGGTTGTCTTTTCCCTGTTTGTCCTGCTAAATCCTTCCCCCCCTTTAATTACACTACAGCTTAACTCGAAATGACTTCTCAGTACAGAAGGGCATAAGCATTTCTTAGTTCTCCTTTTACCAAAAGGTTGCTAATCGGCCACTCTGGGTTGACTCTGGGAGGCCACGTCATTTGTTAGGATTTCTCACAATTTCTCCCTTGTCCCTCCCATGGTTTCCACTGTGCCTTGATTAGGGAATGTCATTTATCTCAGGGCATCTTAATCTTCTAGGGTTTGCCAGGGCCTTAGAGACCAGCGAGAAATCTGGGTGGTATCTGGGAGGATTCAGTTTGCAGACTCCCTGGCTTCTTGTGAACGTCAGCAAAGCCCTTTATCACTGTCAGGAGCCAGTAAACATGAGTAGAGGCTGGAAGGGCAGACCTGGTAGCCGTTGGAGTTCAAAATATCCAGAATAGTAGCTCAGTAGATTGAGCGCGAGCCTGCGAACCAAAGGATTGCAGTTTGATTCCCAGTCAGAGCACATGCCTGGGTTGCAGGCCAGTTCCCAGCAGGGGACGAATGAGAGGCAACCATATATTAATATTTCTCTCCCTCTTTCCTTCCCTTCCCCTCTAAAGATAAATAAATAAAATCTTTTAAGAAATCCAGAATAGTCTAGAGTTCTCCATCTTGTAGTCTCCCCGGTTTTTGTCATGTGAGCACATGGGCCTGCAGAATTGCCACGCTCAGGGTTCTTGCTTTCCATGGTGTACCCGCTCACTTTTGCAGGAGCAGTGCCTGGTCTCCTTCCTGGACCGCCCAGCTTTTGTTCTCTCTCTTGCTTGTTTGCTGAAGTTACTGCTGTTCCTCCTGGCTCCTCTGGCCGGACCTGGAGCCCCCGTCTGTGGCCATCTCGTCTGTGTACAGCCCACCTTTTGAAATGGGTTTTCCCTTTGAGTTTTCCTTTGGTGACTTCTCAACCTCATTTCTGTCTTCCCTGCTGTTCTGTTACCTTTGCTCAGTGCTTCATATCTGCCCTACCCAGAAATGCATGTATTTTTTGAGGTGTTCAAAGCCACCTCCTGGTTTTATTTGGGTGTCCTTCAGTGACCCAGCTTTCAGCACGGAACCTTGAAAACAAAACACCCTGACGCTGCCATTGATTTCCCCAAACGTGACGTGAACACATGGACCTGAAGGACTGGCCCCTCATGGGCAACTTACTGGATGTTAGAACAACAGCAGTATTTCTGAGGCAAACCTGTGCTAAAAATCTCAGTGAACCTTCTGATTTCAATTATGTGACACTCCTTGTCTGCGTGGTTTTGAAAATCTAAGTGGTTAACTCATTTCCACACCTTTATCTGAATATTCAAAACCACATAGATAAAGCCATGGCCTTCATTTAAAAAGAATGGAACCATTCTTTTCATTGTCTTCTGTTTTAGTAACTTTTCATTCTTCCGTGTAACACAGTGTGTGGCCCACAATATATTCTCTGCATGTCTTCATTTTGACTGAATGCCACAGAAAGGGGGTTATGTCTGTCTCCAAGCATCTGCTTTTTCTTTGAAAGTCAGTGAGTCCCCTGTCTGTACCAGACACCAAACCGCCAGAACGAATGTGTAGCTTCAATTTTAGAGGGATGCCACGCTTGCTTTTACATTCTGTAAACCTTCCACTGAGGGACTTTAAGAGTAGGTTTTGCTTTGTTGTAATTTTACATGAGGTACCCACACCTGTGAACAGGTGGCCTCAGCACCGCCTGCTCCAGAAAACAAGTAAGGAGCACACTCATCCGTGACTTAACGATGGGACTACGTTCTGAGGAATGCCACGTTAGGCAATTTCGTGGTCGTGCGGACATCACAGAGTGCACTCACGCTGTCCTGCATGGTACAGGCTGCCACACACCTAGACCACATGGTGTAGTCTACAGCAGGCTGCAGTGCAAAACAACGAGAGATTAAATCGTGATTAAATCGGAGCAAATGATCCAGAGACAAGATAGGAGGCTGCTGCCAGGGCAACAAGGCATATTTTTTTTTATCAGTAGAAAGAGTACACTCTAGAATAACAATACAAGTATAATATAGTAAATATACAAAGCGGTAACCTAGTTGTTTAGTGCCATCTTCAAGTATCCTGTACTGCACATAATTGTGTGTTCTGCCCTTTTGTGCGGATGGTAGCACAGCACCAGCACCGGCGCAAACACGTAAGTAATGTCTTGTGCCCTGCCCTTGGGACAGCTGTGCGGTCTCGAGGTGATAGGAATCTTTCAGCTCCCCTGGAATCTCACGGGACTGCCCTGTAGGTGCCGCCCCTGGTCCATCCCTGACCGAAACGTCATTAAGCAACACGTGCCTGTGAATGAAGATGACTGTTTTCACATGAAAGATGAAAATGACTGTGTATGAAGACGGCCACTTGCTATTCCAGCATCAAAAGCACACGTGCTTGGTGCTTTTGTTTCAGGGGTGGCGACAGATTTGTCCTGATGCTTCTCAAGTTTCCCTGTGGTTGCCTTTCTGGAAGTGTGGTTGATGCCATTGGCAAAACCAGGCCAACAGCTGAGGGTTCGCGTCCACCAGGCTCTTACTAGTCTACCAGGCTCTAACCAGCTGAGTTAAGATCATCAGAGCATGGTCTACCTATTAACTTTTCTTGTCTAACTTGGTAAACATAACTGTTATACATTAACCTGTGGAAGCAAGCGGTAGACTATTGTTTTTCCTGTGGGTCTGAGACTCCTCTAAACTTGAAGTGTTTCTGAGAAGAGCTTCCACTGCCATTACTTAACCTTCTCATTGCTACGTACCCTTGGCATTGACTTTAAGATTTTAGTTAGTGTGGTTTGTGTTTGAAGGCTGGCTTCAAGTGTGTGGGTCACATCTCTTCCGTTCTTATTTGGACTTCAACTCTCTCCTCCAGGAAATCGGTGGTTCTCTGTTTTGCTGGATGGGCACACACATAATAGGTTGTTGAAAATCTTGGGGTTTCTTGCATCCAAGGTGGAATCATCAAGCCAGAGTGTCCTGTGTGATGATGATTTAGTGAGGCCAACGTCTTGTATCTAGTTTTATGCCATCTCCCCCACCCAAAGGCAGAAAAAGGAAATAAATCAGAAAGCAGAACCCACACCGCCCACGGACTCCATTGCCACACATGTGCCCTGCTCCTTATAACATGGGCCTCACCTTGGGTTGGGCAGTGAGGGGGTGACATTAAGAACATTTCACAACCTTTGTCCCAGGAGTTAAGGGGGAAAAGAAAAGGGACTATTCTGTATTCATTTTTGGAATATTTTGCAAACGACACACAACAAAGCATTTTTATGGCCCTTGTTGATTCTTGGTAGTTTTTCCCCACAGCTGTGGGGGAAATTCTTTTCTTTCCTTAACCCACTCTGGTTTCATTGAGGCAACCTAAGTCTTCATACAGTTAAAACCTACTGTAGTGTTGTGTGTGTGGTCAGAACCTACTTTCTTCTAATGGAGAGCAAGTGGTCACAGTGGGTAAAGCTTGATGTCACTAGGAGGCTGAACAAGGTTGCAGTTCAGTTAGATGCTTTCTTCTTCTTCTTATATAGCTTATTCTATTTTTGCCCATTTTTTCTCTCTTTTTTTGGTCAGATTTTAAGATCATTGGGTCTGTAGCACTTTAAAAAAAAGATGATTGTTCATTTAAAAAGTCAAGAAATAAAATAAAGCCTACAGCTTGCCTTTTGTGTATTGATTTCCTGTGCTGGCACAAAGATGTGACTCGGTGCCTCAATCACAGTTCGTAGATAGAGGTTGTCGTGTGCGGTGTTTTCTGGCCTTGGCTCCGGGTCTCAGGCTGCCACATCGCTAAACGGAGACCGTGGTGCTTGTCACTAGTGGAACGAACAGTTACCGTGTATGGAACGCCAAGGGAAAAATGAGGTCTCTTTGCACGTTCAGGCTTATTTCTTTAGTTTCTTAATCCGAACTTGGGGCAGATTTTTCAGAATGCAATTCAATTTGTACTTTTGAGAAACCACACTAAAATCTCTAGAAGGTGAAATAACATTTGAGTGCCGGAGGCAGGGCATCATCTTTGTATCACGTGCAATGTGTGTTTTCCCAAAGCATGTGAGTTACATGTCTCTCCTTGCCCACATTTGTGATGCCTGGTTCCTTAAAAGAAGATAGCTCTTTGGTGGAAACAACTGGATTTGATTTTTGTGAAACTAAATATGCAAAAATCTACAGTATTTAGCAATTGTATGAGCATCCAAATTAATGAATACTGTTTGCTATATTGGGATTCCCTTGGAATAGGAAATAGAACTTTGAAACTTCCATTCTAAAAATATCCTCCAAGGTGTTTGGAGTCTTCCAGGATCAGCAGTTAGTGAATCCGTTTGGGTGAGTACGTGTTGTAGATATCTAAGGCCCAGGCCTAGAGCTATGAGAAGCAAAGAGTAAGTAACTGGGTCTCAGTTCTCTGGGCGTTGACCACCCAGTGAAGGTGCGAACAACACACACACAGTGGAAAGAGAACGCTAATGACCCCATTGCGTGATACAAAGATCTGAAGGTGCCAGGAGGAGAGAACACTCTATTCTAAGGTTTTCGTCTTTAGGTGATGTGTCCCCAACATCAACGGAGTGGTCAGTTTGGGTATCGTCATCACCTGTCATCGCTGTTAAAAACCACTGCTTTTTTTCCCTTCTTTTGTTGCTCTTTGGTAAAACTGGAGTCACTTACACTTCAGTTCTGGCCGAGAAGTTGCTCATAAAAATTTGCATTTTGGAGAGCAGTGATACTTTGGCAAAGTTGCTCATTGTTTATTATCCTGGGCCTCTAAAAACTGTGACAGTTGACTAAAAATTCAAACTATTCTGAAAGGTCTTAGAGGGCAAAGTTAAAGCACACTCAGGTTGTATTTCAGGTGGAAATTGTTATTTAAAGAAATTGTGGGGTGACTTCGTTTCTACTGGGTACAAATCACTGTGCAATGTTACTGTTTAATGAACCTTAGGTGTCAAAAATCCATTTATCATAATTCCTTATTTGCAGCACAGTACTGTTATTCCAGTATTGGTTACCGTATGACCAATAAATATTATTAATTTTAGGTTCTTGGGTTGAGTGGTAGATGGATATTCACTGTATTATTATTTTATAATAACCTATGAGTAAATTAAATTTTAAATAAATTTCTTCTGACTAAACTAGTAAATAAAAAATTTTACAAATGTCTCCTCTATGTTTTTCTTTCAAGTAGAGACCACCTCTATTGAGCAAAATGTCCCCCTTTTCTTCAGAAGAACAGAAATTGCTTTACAGAGATTTTTCTGGCTTTTCGAAATCCCCTTTAGGCAGGCATACTGTTCCAGAACACCACAATAGAGTGAATTGTAGTCTTTTTGCTGGTGGAGGGTCTCGCCTTCAATTTATGAAAAACGCAGTATCCCTTGAAGTGCCATAAGGTGAAGGGCAGCACCATGAGCCAGTCCTGGACGCACTTCTGCAATGTTCCTTCCCGGTCTCCCGAGGCCAAGGGGGCTTATTACTTTTTCTTGGGCTTGTTAGTCCACAGGATGTTTGCATCTCACTAGTTCTGACAAAATTTGAATGAAAATTTCCTAACAGTGTGTATCAACTTGGGTTTGAATTCCTCTGGGAAAAGGCCGTGTTTAAAAAATTCAGGCTACTCCGTATAGACCCTTTATCGGCTTTGGTGATCATATTAAGCAACACCATTTTCTACCTGTGTTTGAGTCCAACAGCAAATTGTACCTGGCTTTGCTAATTCTGTGCAATGGAAGCGATTGTTTCAGAGACATTTTTGTGAGACCTAGAAGGAGCTCTAGGTAAGTTTTGACACCCCATCCTGAGGCATCTTTAACATTCAAGAATGTTTGGGCCACGTGAGCAATTTACCTTTGTTCCAGGGCAGCCAGTGCAAGAAAAGGAAGCCACCTTGGCTGTGATGAATGAAGCCAAGTGGAGATGTTGCATTGATTGGACTTTTATGAAGGAGTAATAAATGTCATCCAAGTCCAAGACCCGCCGAGAGTTTAGTGTG